TCTTCTTTGGCTATTGTTTTTCCATATGGATTTATGTACTCTGTATGTACAATTTCCCAGGAAAGAACCACTATAGACAATTGGTGTGATTCGGTTTGTCTATAGCGGTCTGGAAGAAGTCAATCAATTTCCCAATTGGCTACATTTTTTTTCACCTATATGTTGCATTTAGGAAATAGAAAAATTCATACTTCCTGACAATATGGAAAGTGAAGATGTCTGAAATTGAAAAGAGGTAAAGTGGATTATTATACAGACTCTTTACAGTTGTTATCTAGAGATTGCTAGAGAGCTGTGACAGGAGAGAAGAAGCTATAAAGAGCATACGACGGCCTCTGTATACAGGTACTGTTAGATCGGATAGGAATGGAATGAGTCATCCTGATTTACATAGAGCTGTGAGGTCACATAGATTTATGATCTTAGAAGCAGTGTATTAAAAGGGGCTTACAGAGGCAAAAAATATTTGTTGCTCTGCACTGTGAACTAAGTAACTGTATATGTGTGTGCTGAAATGCATATGATTATAGGTTGTGATGCATAGTTGACAGCCTTTTATGTCAGCTTAGAGGGACATTGTTGTTGAAATGGTTTTTCCAAATATTGACTCAAACAACAGCAGGGCACTTACTGGAGAAAATGGCTACCAGCAAATAAAGTAGATTTGTAAATGAGCTTGTGCAATTGTAGCACCCTGTAGGCAGGAGTGCTATTCAATTTACAGGGTTATTCACAAAGGGTGAATAGTTTGGAGAAGGCAGGAGAAGTGAACAATCTAGGACAACATAGCTGAATTGGAAAAACATTCCAATTCAGTTCACTTTCCAGTTCAGCTATGTTGTCCTAGATTGTTCACTTATCCTGCCTTCTCCAAACTCTTCACCCTTTTGTGAATAACTTTGTTAGTATTTTCAGACTGTATGCAGTCTATGATTTGTAATCTATGTTCATTTAGTTTCCCCTAATCAATCTGCCATCATTTACATCTGTCTGCTGCTGGGGGTACCCTAGACACAGAGCAGAGCAACCAATGAGAGATTGATGTGTACATATCCCTCTCCAGCCAATCACTGTGAGGTTGATGGCCAGTAGAGCATGCTGGGGGAAGAGATAAATACTTGGAGTGGACCACGTGAGTTCTCTCTTCCTAGCCCAGGTCCTGCCTGTGGTGAGGCTGCAATGGACTGTCTGAGATGGCTAGGTCCGAAGCATGGGGACTAGCCATGTGCTTGCACTGGGACCAGAGTCTGGGGAGGCAGTGGTTACACACTGATGACAAGGATGGACATGACTGGTGATTTCTACCTCAAGTACTGTTGTGCCAGGTGTTCTTCATGCTGTGAATGGAGACAGCGACCACACTCTGCCATTGAAAGGAGGCTATATCTATCTGGATGATCCTAACCCTTAACCTATCTTCCTGAAGTTCTACAATAATGTTCTCAGCATTAGATATACAGTCTGGACATTGCTTTAATCAATCACCATAGAAGGCGGTAAGTGCTGATGGGCAAAGTGAGTGAAATTATCCCTAGACAAGAAGATTACCGAGTTGCGGTAACCCATAGCAACTGACCCTAGAGTCAAGGTGTGCTGCACATCCATCAAAGAGGTTTCTTACAGAGGAAACACAGGGAGACCCTTTAATCATATTACTGAAGACCTCTCTTTGGAGCCAGTGGGAGTGTTATCCTTGGATATCACTGACCAGAAAAAGGGTTGATGCTACACAATACATTAAAGTAGCATTAAACTTTTTTTCAATAATGAATTCATGTCAAACAAATTTTCATTGCACAGCAAAGCATTGCTTTATATTTTTGCCCAAACACTTACAATCATCATGTTTCTGAACAGCTGCTTGCAAGTCTCTTCGCCCAGCTCTCCAGAACTTCATGCCTAGAACAAGATTACAAGGGACGGAGCAGACTCTGCAACTGTTCATCTACTAGCTTGGGGAAGGGAGGAGAGGGGGCCGGGGGAGAGGGGAGTAGATTGATTTTTTGTGTTTGTTGAGACACACACACACAGCTTTCCAGCACACACAAGGGTGACTGCATAGCACTCTGTTTGAGAAAGGAGTCACGCTAAAACATGATATCAGGACCAGTGCTCAGGGTACCAGCTGATTCTGCAGGAAACTAAAACTTTTGAACATCAAGAAGCGGCATGCATTGTAAGTGATTTCATTAGCATTTGAAACAGCTAATAATCCTTTTGACCTTAATATCACTTTAATGTATTGTAACAAGGACACTCCACTGAAGACCGGAGGTGCAAGTACAATGCAGTTTATTTGCTTTCAAAACGATAGAGAACACGAAATCCAACATAAATAGCTTGCTGTAGCATAACAGATAGGGGCTCACCAATCCTCGAGTTGCCACGTACACTCAAGGTGTCCCAGTCTTTTAACAAGTCTCTCTCGCAGCACTGCTGCTCCGGCCTCAATCTTTAGGGCCACTGTCTGGTTCCTCCAGACAACAGCAATAACATGCCAATCCTCTCAATATGGTTCACAAACCCGCAGCTCCCTGCTGCCCTGGCCTCCACACTGACTCCGGGGTGGAGCTCTCCTGACTCACAGGTGGGGCCCTGAACACATCCCAGCACACACTTCATGAGGGATGTAAACAGGTGCACAATCAGGTGCTGGTCACCACCAAAGCATGGACCCAGGAATGGAGATTTCATCCCACCCAGAGCTCTAAGAAATCTCCTGGCTCCAGGATCCCAACCTTGATCCAGAAAACCCAGAAAGAACTGAAAAGGCAGTTCTCTCCTGGTACCAGTAATGTCTTCCTGGAGCCACTCAGCCCCTCTGGCTGAGAACCCTGGGTGACTTTGAGGCCACCTAACACCGTGGTATTGCCTCACAATGCCACAGTATGTTTTCAACAGAAATCTTGCAGAAGGATTCATGCCCTAATGGACACTGGTATAGCGCATTAGAAAAGGTGCATGAACTCTTTTTTTATAACACAACATAGCAGTACATTACCGTGCGTTGTGGTGCACTGCAAGACAGGTGCTTTGGCAAGATGCTTTGGGATGCCATTAAGAATAGGCATTGCAGCAACACAACAGTGTAAACCCAGCCTAAGAAGGTAATCCTCACTTTAGAATCCTGATTTAATAGTGAAAATAGTAAAAGTCCCTACTCATGCACATCTGTAAGGTGTGGAGATATTTAAGAGCATAACAACAACTGTAGCAGCTCGTTCAGCAGCTATGGGACCAGGGCAGCAGAGGGGGCCCAGTCCTCTGCCCAGTCCATGCCGTAATAGGAATTCAATTTTTTTTCTGAGTCACAGGTTCAGAATTCCTGACTTTCTTTGGAGCAATTAATAAATGACACATCTAACTCAGCTTGACCACTGAAGAGAAGCTCCTTTCCTTTGGTGCACAGAAGTCTCAGCACAGCAGTCACTCGTGATGAGGAAGCTTATTCTCAGAGAAGCCCTGTTTGTACCTTTAGCCCCCCAGTTGCCCCCAGCATCCAAATCATATGTTTGCCTTGTGTTTTTACTTAAAGTGTTTTAATTTACATCTATAGCATGACATAAGAAGAATACAGGGGTCCATATAAAGATCCAGAAGACATATGCAGCTTCCTAAACAATATGAACTTTGTATTACTATCAGACACAAGAAGAGAGAAGAACATATCTCTTATTGTGCTGCTGGAGCCAAGTAAGTCCAAAAACACTAATGGGAAAAGACTCAGTGCAAAGATATAACATAAAGAGGGCTAATAGCATGGTATCCCCTGCAGGCACTTGAAATTGCAACTGAAGTCAAACCTTTCTTTTTTAAGTTTTAGATGGAGTGGAGAGGAATTAGAACACCCATTTATCGCTGTCTGTTAGTTCTATTGGGAGGATCTGTGTGCGAGTGTGAACAATAAATACAATAAATATAATGTTTATTGTGATGTCAATATGGTTTATTGAGATTACAATAAACATTATGTACACTATTTTATTCGCTGTGAAGTCCTGAAGAGGGCCCACTGCCTCTAATTTGGAATATGGCTTCTTCTTTGTGGCTTCTTTGTGGTGCACCCAGTAACACTAAATTTAGAAGTTAAATATTAAAAATGCAAGTACCTTAACTATTTACACAAATGTATATTATTTGTGTATCACTCGGCTGTAGATCCTCAAATCATCTCTGGATTCATGCTGACATTGTCCTTCTATTTGGAGGGTGATTACTTTTGTTCCCCATGGTCCCTGTGTGTGTTGTAAAGTAGTCACCGCTCCAAGCTCGCTCCCAGGATGGACTACAATCTCATGTTTAGTTTACTAAATTGTATTGAGATTGTAGTCCATCACAGAAGTGAGCTTGGAGTGGTGACTACTTTACAACACACACAGGGACCATGGGCAACAAAAGTAGCCACCCTCCAGGAGGAAGGACAGTGTCAGTATGAATTCAGAGATGATTTGAGGATCTACAGCCAAGTGATACACAAATAAGGTACAATATTCTTAATAGTTAAGGTACTTGAATGCATTTTTAACATTTAACTTCTGAATTGAGTGTCACTTTAAGTGTGCTCCTTAAGTACCAGCTTTCAGATCAATGATATATATACTGTATATACCACTAGTACCCTTTGATCATCCAACAATGATGGCAGGTGTTCTTAGCCTGCCAGAGCTGCCAAAGGGACTTTGGGAGGTGACACAAATAGTCTAGGGACCACAGCAAACTTCAGTGTTTTGATCGCCTTCATTGGCAGCCAATCGGTGAGCATCATCCATTCTCCTCCGTGCATCCGGCTGAATAATTTGAATCCAGCAGCCCTTACTAGAATTATTCTGTGTGTAGAGTGACTCCAAAAACCCTCCATCCATCCATCCCTCCCTCCCGCATCCATCCCCTCCTTCCAGCTCTCTCTTCTATCTCATCCTCCTTTCATCTTCCTCCAATCCCCACTGCCTACAGACAAAAGAAACCACAGCCAGACTCAGGGTCTTGGTTTCACTGAGCCGCTTTTTGTTGCTGTGCCCTGGGAAATAAACAAGGGCTTTCTTCCTTCATCCCAGCCAGAGAGACAGAGGGAGAGAGAGCCGGGGATCTAGGAAGAAAGGCACAGGCAGGGAGGGAGGGAAGGACCAGGGAGAGGAGGGAAGAAATATAAAGCAAGACAGATGGGCAGAGGTGATAGGCAGATGTGGCTTAGGATTTCTTACTGTGCATCTTTATGTAGGTGCAGTGAGGAGTTAAAGGCAGATGCTTTGGACATGAATGAGCTCTGAGGGAATTTCTGCAGTGTGAGGGGGTTACACAAGCTGTCAGGTAGGAGAGGGAAATGAGTGTGTGTCTGTGCCTGCAGTGAAGGATTGTAGCAGTGTATTCTGTGCGTCCTCTATGGAAAGACAATGTGCATGTGTCTAATTCAAGGCAATGATGAATAATGTGATCGCTTTGCACTTGCTGACACCGAGGCGCATAGCAAGTGCTGTTATTGTATATTGAATGTCATTCTGGTGATGAATTCCTGACAGGTAGGATGAGAAGAGTCAGCTCATCTGCAAAGTAGGAGGACTGGCAGGCACGCATGTGTGCATGGACAGCTTAGCACTCTTGTCACCTCTGGGCTTTTTGTTTTTATTGGTGGACTCTGGCTTCATGTGCATTTGCATCCAGCATAGGGGAAGTGTGCATTACATGTGATAGGTAGACCGTGTGTGTGTGTGCAGATACTAAAGGCTCTGCGTGCCTGCAGCTAGGAGACAGGAGGAAGTATTGGAAGACTAAAGATGGCTCCTGCCGGTGCTCTCTGGGTGCTGCTGCTGGCCGGTTCCCAGCTCCTGTTAAGAAGTGGAGGAGAAGAGGATTCGTCCAGGGAGCTCGAGTGCAAGATGAAAAGCATCACCGTCTCGGCTCTCCCCTTCCTCCGAGAGAACGACCTCAGCATCATGCACAGCCCCTCTGCCTCCGAGCCCAAGCTCCTCTTCTCCGTCCGGAACGACTTCCCGGGGGAGATTGCGGTAGCTGACGATCTGGAGAACACAGAGCTGCCTTACTTTGTGCTGGGTAAGTGTGTAACCTGCTTCCTTTCACCCTTCACACACGCTACCCGCATGAACCTGTGCTGTGTGTCGCAGGGAATCCATGCTAATAAACACAAACATACATTTTCTGCAGCTGCTGTACCAGGCCCTACAGGATGCTGAGAGTAAATATATACGTTGCTTTTTTTGATCAGGCATTTGGAAATCCAACAAACGCAACTCCACTTTTGAGTTGAAAGAAGGGAGGTGTGTGGAGTGCATAAGCTACACTCACTTCTGTGTGCTTCATACTCCAGCCTGCTGTTGATATGTCCTAGTGGGATGTACCTTCCAGACCCATAACAATTTACATATCTGTTGGTGTATTGTCCAAAATTGGGCCAACACGTTCATAGGAGTGCTAAAAATTCTGTAAAATCCAGTACCCCTTATTAACCAACCAAATCTCAGCTTTCTTTAGCCACAATAGTAAAAAAGGATGAATTCTGATAGGTGACATTAGGCTCTTGCACTTTGTACGTAGTTGCACTTTGTACTGTCCTATTAAATGAATCCACTGGTTCTGGAAGGAGCGAGTCTTGCGCTCAGAACTATGCACCAAGACTCAAAAGTGGCAGATGTAGAACATTAAAGTGAGCGCAGTTTCCACGCTGCATTCAGCTTGCCCTGTCCCATTGATCTCCACTGATGTTTAAAGTGGAGATGCCCTTTAAATTTCAGTATAAAGTCTGTCTCTGCTGGGAGCCTGTGTCCTGCATCCACTCTCATTTTAAATCTGTTTGGTTACAGCAAATTGTAATTATCTTGTTAATCAGCTTTATTCTGTTGAATCTGTACTCGAGCAGCCTGACACTTCTGAGATGAAAAGCACATCTGCCTTAGTTCTATGCTCCAGATTTGGCCGGAGGCGTGCTTGTTAAATTGGGTCGATTGATGTGTGAAGTTGGTCCAGAGGCCAGAGAGAAAAATGTCCACTTAAGAGCATCGCAATTCTCATCCCAAAATTGTCCTCTGAAAATGTAATGATAACAGGCTGAAGGTTACATTGGAGATTTTTTTTCCATCAGTGAAGAAAACATTGCCTAAGTGATAAGTATCTCATTCCGTGTCACACAAGGCTCCTAAGGCATTTCCTTTCTACTGTAAGGAGCAAAGATTCAGGTCAGTGAGGACATAGGACAGTTATCTCACTCATTCATGGTGGATAAGTCACTTATTATTCCAGTGTAACTTTCTAGACTGCTACAAGAGTCGAGGTTCGACTACATCTAAGTGGTTTGGGTGGATGTCTGTTGAGAAGCAATTGCAAGTCTTAACCTGCACATGTGTTGGCCAATTTATCATCCGCTATAAACTAATCTACGGTAGATCTTTTCTGCTTGTAATCAAAAAAGCCTAAAGTTATCTGTATATTAAATGGCTGGGATGCATGATCGGATTGGTCAAGTTTTTAGCTCTCAGATGTTGCTTTGACTGTCACCAGAACAAAAGGCATGGTTGTCAGCTGTCTTGACCACTTTTGTGGATGGTCAAATCTTCTACAAATTGGACTGCCCACAGCTGAGAATGAGAAATTTGACTGTAACGTGGTTAGTTTTAAAACATAACATGCCAATGGTTAGGTGTTTAGGTAGTGGCAGATAAACTTGGCCAGTAGGTTTTAGAGGAACAGTTGACTGGCCTAGTTGGAATTTATTGGCAGGTCACTATGTTTCTAACTCACATAAGCACAATGGGGGTTTTGTTTGATTGCTTTTTTATCACTTTCCTCAACTACAAGAACATGCAGGCGTGGGCTATATGAGTGTGCACATACATTAGATTATAATTTCTGTGATAAGATTATGTCCACATGTCTTATGGCTAGCTTTAAATCAGTCCACCAAAATACAATATTTCAACTATAGAAGTTGAGGACTCTGTTTGGCTCTTGGAGTTTCCAACAGTAAGATCTCCTTTTAGCCTTCCTCATTCTGCCTCTCACTTTAATGGCATTTTTACTCACTGACCACAACCAGAGTAGTTTCTTTCTGTCTACTTCGTTTTAATTAAAACAAATTAAAACAAATCATGAAAAAATGAATCTATCATGAAAAAAAATACTTCAATACTTTTACTTTACTTCATAATACTTTACTCTTACTTGATGACACTAACCCAGAACAGGCCTGCAGATAAGACTATATCACTCTTCTGAACTGTATAACTGTTTCTGGCCCAGAAAGTAGTGAAGGCAGAGGATCAGCATAACACATATCAATATCAGAGTTCAGCAATGGCAGTCCTGTATTTCCTCCATGACAGCTGTTAAAAGAGAACTAAAGTCAAACCTTTTTTTGGCTTTAGTCCTCTTTTGGGTCAAAGGAATACATTTACTAATACAGGTGAAACTCGAATAATTAGAATATCGTGCAAAAGTAATTGCAGTAAGTGCTGCAAAAGGGGCCCAAACCAAGTGCTGAGTACATATGCATGCTTGTACTTTTCAGAGGTCCGATATTGTTCTATGTACAATCCTTGTTTTATTGATTGCATGTAATAATCTACTTTTTTGAGGTTGTGGATTTGGGGTTCTTGGGGTTGTCATGAGCTGTAAGCCATAATCATCCCAATGATGACAAATCACGGCTTGAATTATCTTGCTTTGCATGTAATGAGTCTATCTCATATATTAGTTTCACCTTTTAAGTTGCATTAGTGAAATAAATGAACTTTGCACAATATTCTAATTATTCGAGTTTCACCTGTATACTCCAGTGACCCAAAGTCAGTATCTCGTGGGTCACTGCCTGCTATGTGCTGACAGTGCAGCGCTGCACTGCAGCCAGTGAAGATCCTGATAATATTGTCAGGATCCATCCTGCCGCCCAATTGACAGCTGGCTCTGCCTTTCTAGAGCCAGAGCCAGCTGTGGCCGCTCCTCCCCTGGCTGTCCCTCCAATGAGTGCTGGAGGAACAGAGAGGGGAGGGGGGAATCCCTGCAGGGAGCAGGAATGACAGTCAACACTCTCTGCAATGAGAAGACTATGAGCTTATCAATCAGTGGTTTGTGATCACTCAGCTCTCGATATATAGACACCTGCAGTGTCAGACAACGGCTCTAAGTATTGGGAAGAGTACATTTTACTCTCCCAATACTTCTCCTTTAATGACAAATTCATTAAACACAGACAGAAAAACACTCACTTGTAATGGCGGCTGCAGCTGGCCAGACCTTCAAATTCAAGTGCCAGGTTTGTACTTTTTTGACTCCCGAAGAATGATGAGATGTCGCAGGGTTTATCTTTCAGTTTTGGGTGGACTGCCTATTTAATAAGTGACCCAAAAAAAGTTGGATAAAAAGAGCTGTTTAAAACAAACCTGTGCCTTGCTCATGCAGGGTGAAAGAACAGGTTCTCTTTAATCCTGACCTCCTCAGCAGCACATACTTTTCTTCCTTTGAGTCACATGCTTCTTCATACCTGGAGGTAGAGGGTATTCCCTTTGGCTTTCATCACTAAATGGAGGGAAGAAACAGTAGGTTTATTTGACTGGGGATGGGGAGGGTGTCTCTATTACTCTGCCATTATGGGCCAAAACACAACTACGCTTTAAACTTTTTAGAGCAAAAAACTGCTTTCCTTTCCTAAAATTTCAGCCACCCTAAAACTGATATTTTTATTTTGTACGGTGCCGGAATCTGAGTTCTTGGCCTGCACAGCTGCCCTAGCCATACAGAGAGGCCCCCACTGGGTAAGGAAAAGATACAGAGGGAGTAGAAACACCCTATATGCATGGAAACACCCCAAACATACCTCATAGCATCCAGTCCAATCACAAGCAGCACCTGTCCTTGCAGAGAGCGGCCCTATATGGCCGTGCACGCCGCACAGATCTGTATGGGCCGACTCTTAGGAGTGTGAATGAGGATTCACACTGACATGTCACAGGAACGTGTGTATTAACACAATGCAGAATAATGCACATTACATGTGCTACTGCGTTGTGATGCCTTTCCTTTTGAATAGCACTCCAACGCAAGGCAATGCACAGAAACAGAAAGGTCAGAGTTTTTGCCTGTTACGGTGCATAGGCAGCCCATTTATTTCAGTAGGCTGCCTCAATGTAACACAAATAAATCTGCAACATATTGGGGGGAATTTATCAAAACTGAAGATGACAGAAACTGGAAGAGTTGTCCTTAGTAACCAATCAGCTTCATTTTCAAAGCTTAACTGAACAACTGAAGAGAGAAGCTGGTTGGTTACTATGGACAACTGCTACAGATTCTGTCAATTCTGGTTTTGATAAATCCCCCCCCCCAATGTGTGCTGAGATGCAGTGCAAATAAGCAATTGGGCCATTTAACTGTTGCTGTACGTTCACATGCATTGCATTAAGGCAACACACCCCAACACTTTGGTGGGTGACATCAACGTGCAACATAACATGTGTTAACACACTGCAAATAAGTAAATGGGCCACCTGACTGTTGTGACGTGTTAACATGCATTGCATTAAGGCAGCACACCTTAACACTTTGATGGGTCACATCAACATTCGACATAACGTGTGGTGGAGCCCCTCAAAAAAGTAAATGGGCCGCCTGACTGTTGTGGCTTGTTAACATGCGTTGTAATAAGGCAGCACACCGGAGCATGTTTGTTCATTATGTTGTGCTATAACTATGGGGAAAAACACTGACCCCATAGTTCTCCTTTAAAAGTTAGTATTACGTGTTGACATGTGTTGCGGTAACGCACGGTAAAATGCTTGTTTTCTGTGTATCACCACAGCAGTCTGTATCAGATCTAAAACTGACAGTTTATTCCACCCCAGTGCTTTCATATGGCTCAGGGACTCCATTGGTGAGTTATCAGGTCTGTAGGTCCTGGGTCTGCACATACACTTTGTTCATTGTAAGGGTTTTCGCTATTAGATTTTGTATTCATCTTCTATCATGGGGGTTGCAGCAGGAATAGCTGGAACCCAAAAAGGAGGGTGTGGACAGTGGGACACCCAAAACTTCCAGGTAGATCCGAA